TCGTTATTTATTCTTATATTTCAAGAGATAATAAAATTGGTGCAAAAGGTGCAAAAGATTTAGGCACAGGAATAGCCTAGTGCAAGAATATCACAACTTTGACGCTTTATTTATAGTAAAAATTTAATTGATTGATTGATTGATAAACTAAATATTGATTATTTTAAGCTTTTGACTTAGTTATTAGCTAATTAAGCCAGCTTGTCATTTACTAACTTGCTTATTCATTTATTTACTTACTAACTTACTAACCAAATAAAATATAACGAATTTCTTTACTTACTCATCACAACACAACTAAAATACTAACGAAGCCATAGTTTTTTACCATCCTTTCTCCTCCATATTTATTTAATTCGTTATTTATTCTTATATTTCAAGATACAATAATATTGGTGCAGAGGGTGCAAAAGATTTAGGCACAGGAATAGCCTAGTGCAAGAATATCACAACTTTGACGCTTTCTTTATAGTAAAAATTTAATTGATTGATTGATAAACTAAATATTGATTATTTTAAGCTTTTGACTTAGTTATTAGCTAATTAAGCCAGCTTGTCATTTACTAACTTGCTTATTCATTTATTTACTTACTAACTTACTAACCAAATAAAATATAACGAATTTCTTTACTTACTCATCACAACACAACTATAATTCTAACGAAAGCCATAGTTTTTTACCATCCTTTCTCCTCCATATTTATTTAATTCGTTATTTATTCTTATATTTCAAGACAAAATAAAATTGGTGCAAAGGGTGCAAAAGATTTAGGCACAGGAATAGCCTAGTGCAAGAATATCACAACTTTGACGCTTAACTTAGAGTAAAAATTTAATTGATTGATTGATAAACTAAATATTGATTATTTTAAGCTTTTGACTTAGTTATTATCTAATTAAGCCACCTTGTCATTTAATAACTTGCTTATTCATTTATTTACTTACTAACTTACTAACCAAATAAAATATAACGAATTTCTTTACTTACTCATCACAACACAACTATAATACTAACGAAAGCCATAGTTTTTTACCATCCTTTCTCCTCCATTATATTTAATTCGTTATTTATTCTTATATTTCAAGCGAAAATAATATTGGTGCAGAGGGTGCAAAAGGATTTAGGCACAGGAATAGCCTAGTG